AAAGATCTTCGAATCGATCGAAACCATCCCTGATATTTTTCGTTTGATTAGTGAAATATTCGAGATTCGACGAAACGTGAGAATTTCCGCTTAGTAGGCAATCTGAACATTGGATTTGTTTGGTTTTTTTATTTCGATAGATCGAAGACAGATTTGACATTTTACGTGTCTCTGATGATTTCTCGTGTTCTTTCGAAGGATAAATCGTGATGTTTTTTATAAAAAAGTTTTTGGAAAAAAACACTTCATTTTGTGATATTTTTATTAATTTCACGAGATCGGTGTTAGAAATACATATATATATATGTTTTTATAAATTCCAATGTTAATTAATCGGAGTGTTTGAGAGATATTTTCGATAAAAATTTCGAAAAATTAATCGTTTAACACGGTGTTAAAAATTGTCGAGGTTGGTATTTTTTCGGGCATAAATACCTGGACGACGATTCCAACAGACATAATTACGCATCGGCTATCTTGGTAGAGCGAGTTTGGCAGATGTCCACGAGGAATATCGTTCGAGATGCATCGCGAGTATGAATGATGATCGCGATACCGATAAATTATTCCGTTGCCTATCACGTTCTCGACATTTTAAAATAACCAAAAGGAGATCGCAAAACCGCCTTTGAAACGAAGAAAGTATAAAAAAAACGTCCCAAAATTCACGCAAAAACTAATTTCGATAGAAAAAACATAGGTTTGTAAAATTAAAAATTTTTTATTTATTATCGTAAAGTATAAGGTTATGTATGGAACATGTATGGAACGTAAATGGCCTCCACGGCTTTGCCAACGTACGCGCTCTTTCGTTGAAATTTTTCATCACCGTTTTGCGTAAACGTTGTCGAATTTCGCTCAATTTCCTTCTTCGAGGCGTTGCCATAAATCTTAGATTTCGAAAAATCCAGAAGAAAAAAAGTGCAACGGCGTTAAATCGCATTGGATGGCCAATTCTTATCCAAAACACGAACACAGGATATGACTCGTGCAATGATCGAATCGTTTCTCGGGTTGTACGCCATGTGGCGCCATCTTGTTGAAACCACGTGTCGTCCACATTCGTATCTTATCCCAAAATTAGGACCAAACAGTGACACGTTGTGGATGCATTTGTTTCTCAATTCTGTGGATTTTCTGAACCCAAATGCGACAATTTTATT